AGGCAAGCAGATAAACACAGAAGAGGAAAAAGAAGGAACAGACTCATGTTGCAGTAATGGTCTCATAACTAATGAGAACTTTTCCTTTATATTCCTGAATCTTCTAAGTTGCTCTGGGCAGGAATGCTTCAATGAAGGAAATGACTATTCAACATTAATAACAAGAGACACTGCTGGCAGGATTCGGACCAAGGAAGTCTGGCTTCAGTCCATATTTTAACCACCATGTGATACAGCCTCTCTCTGAGAAGAGCACAGATGTATTTAAATGATCTTCGTCTGGTATTTGTTAATTAGCCTTCAGGACTTGACCATGACTGGCCATTGGAGTGGTAGAAAGAATCTAATGAGTCCTTGGCTACCAGCTGGACTCTCAGCTGAGCAGAGGAATCATGATGTCACTTTCTGAGATAAGGTAGACAGGGCCTGGTGTCGCAGGCTTTGTGCTGCTTCACAATGGCACCATAGAATGTGTGGCTTCCCAACAACAGACAGTATCTTAGTTACTATTCTCCTGCTGGGAAGGGACACCATGACCATGGCAACTCTCATTTACAAAGCATTTAATTGGGGACTTGCTTACAGTTTCAGAGGGTTAGTTCATGATCATCATGGCAGGAAGCAGACGGGCATGACACTGCAAACACAGAAGCTAAGGGGTTTTCATCCTAATCCACAGGCAGCAGAGAGAGAGAGAGACAGAGAGACAGACAGACAGACAGACAGACATGCACTATAGGCCTGGAATAGGCTTTGGAAAGCTCAAAGCCCACTCCCAGTGACATACCTCCTCCAAGGACACACCTGTTCCAACGAGGCCATATTTCCAAACAGTTTACCTGCGGACTAAGCATGCAGATATATGAACCTCTGCGGGGGGCGGGGCATTCTCATTCCAACCACCATAGACAGTTACCTCTGGAGGCTAGAAATGCAGAAGCAGAGTGCCAGTGATACCAGGTCTTTTAGTGTGATGGGTCCTTTCACAGCATCATTGTGCATAACCTAAGGACCTAGGACGCTGAATACTCAAGTTATCAAAGGTTGACCTGAGTCAGAGGCTTCAAGTGCACTGTCCCACACCAATGGAGACTGACTCTAAGCGGAAGCGGGCTTTATTAAGGACAATCACAGAAAGTGAGAAATGAATAAAGGTGAGAACTTAAGGGAAAGTGAGAGGAACTCCTGAGAAAGGGAGATGGACACAACCATTGGGCTTCTGTGCCTGGGGGCTTTTATAGGGCCATAGTAGAAACTTTGAGATTGGTTCATCCTTGTGGGCCATGCCAACAGAGGGCCCACACACTCGACGCATCTCCCACCAACCAGGGGGACGATCCTGACCATGTTTCTAAACTATCCACCCAGTTAGGGCTGCTTGGTACCCAACCCTGCCCATCTCTGACTATGACTTCATTTGCTGTTGGCCTTGACTGTCTGCTAGCTGTTGTCTCTTGGCTGGAGTTACTCCCCTCTGACCTTGCAGGTGTCTGCTGTTAATTGTACTAAGCGCTCTTTGTTCTTGGTGGCCACCAAAAGAAGCTGTTCTTGGTTACATCCTATTTAGCTCCTTGTCTCTGGGGTGGTCTGGAATGGTCTCCTAGGTGGAGGAATCTTGTGTGAAGATATCTTGGTCTATTGAAATTGGCTTCATTAGAAGCAAAGATACGAGGAAAGACAATGGGGGACTGGGCCACCACAGTGACAGGAGTGGAAGCAGCCGCTAAGACTGTCCCCACATCCTCTCCCCCTCCCCTTCTCAGCTGACTCCATAGTCCTGGTCCTACCGTGCCCTAGAAATAACAAGAGAACCCTGCAGAGGAGATTGGCAAGGAGAAACAGGCCTCACGGGAGAAAGAAGGCATTCTCCCTGAGAGAGCTGAGGAGGCAGAGCTAAAAGGCCAGATAGCCAAGCCTCGGACAAAAGCCTGGAGGCTCCAACGCCCTCATGAAGAAACTCCAGAAAGGGGGAATGTGCTTTGACTCAGGAGACAACATGGCCAAGGCCATGGAGGAGCAGCAGCTGCCAAGTACAGGACAAGAACCTGGGGACTGGTGGCACACCCCCACCCCACAGGCTCTGCACCACAGAAAGCCCCCCCTTGCCACTGGCAAGCTTGCGGGGTACCGTGAGCCCCTTCTCCCTCCTAGTCTGGATTTTATATATTTTAGGCAGGGAATAGGCACCTACCTGTCAGAGCTCAGCTTGCCAGCTGGATAGGCTCTCTGAGGTCATTTCTTTGGTTACACTGAAACATGCACACCCTCACTGGAACCCAGGTAGGGACCCAGAAATAGAAAAGATCGGGACCCGGTAATGCTGCGACTTTTTCCATGGTGAGACACGTAAGATGTGAGCCCTGCTTTTGGCGGAGAAATTCCTTGGACAGTCTTGAGTCTTGGAGCAGTGTGGCAGTCTCAGTGTCCCACGGCTGAGATGACATGTTGGGAAAGACAGAAGGAGAGAGACACACTCTCTGTGCACCTAAGGGTATTGCCCCTTAGGGCTCTGTGCTGTATCATGGGGAGAGGTAGTAAAAAAGGATTTTTCAGAAAGGAAAGGGATTTGCTTGCCTACAGTGTCTCCATTACCTTCTTTGCCAGCTACCTCTAAAAGTTTGTCCTGGTTATCAAGGGTTATTAAGTTTGATGAACATTGTTCATGAATAATGGATACTGTCTCTCTTCCAGTGTGTTGCTTTTGAAAGTATTATAGGTTAGTGGAAAGAGCACTGGTTTCGGAGTCAAAATATTTGGGCTCTAGTTCTACTCAGTCTTAGCAGTGCGGATGTATAGCCTTGGTAGGGTCATTTAGCTTCTCTAAAACAGATTCTAAAACAGATTCAAATGTGCTAAAGCTAATTCTGACTCAAAAATCCTATACCTGATATAACCATGCTGTTCATCATAAAACCAAAAATGAGGAAGGCCCATGGCCAAGCCTCCACTCTGTAAAACTAGGAACATATGTAATACAAAGGGAGAGAGAAAGTCTGGGATTTGAGGATCATACATTCAGGCAACAGAATCTCGTGTGTGTGTGTGTGTGTGTGTGTGTGTGTGTGTGTGTGTATGGTAGTCTTCCTGGAATGGGGGTGGGGCTGAAGAAGATAGCCATGGAGGTTTTTTGACGCCACCCTCTTTCCTGGGCCTCCAGTTAGGTCCTGGCTGCCGCAAAGCTGCTCTGGCGTCAGAGTGGATGGGCTTGAGGAAGCAGGTTGGGTCATGCCCATATGGAGGCTGCTTCGGGTGTAATGAGATGCTAGGCGTATGTTAGGGAGCAAGGAGAAAAGGTCTCAGGGACTTAGGGACTGCACAGCCGCGGCAGCAGGCTCTTGGCAGAGGACCTCACCACGGTGGAGGCTGGGAAGAGGGCTTAGGGGAGGCAGAGGGAGAACTCCATCTTTCTGGGGATCGCTCACCCAGCTCTAGTCCAGGGCTGACCGACGAACAAATGCAAGACAAGGTGGTTTTGGTGGCCCGAATCATTAATCTAGCTACCAGCAGTTTGTCCTGGATCTTATTGACTGCCACCTTTTAGTTAATGGCAGGGAGAGCCAGGGTGAGGACTGCTCAAGAAAGCTAGATGCTGCTGCAGTCTCTCTCACCCTTTCACTGCACAGATCCCAACGTGCGTTAAGCATGACTGGCAGGTTTACTGATGCTCATGTCAGGGGAAGGGCCATGGCAATGTACCCATCTCCTGACCATGCACTCAGTTCTAGGCTGTCGTGCAGATGACTGGGTGGGAAAAGATTAGTGGGGAAGGAAGAGAGAGAGAGCAGGATCCCTGCTCTCCCTGCTCCCCCCCCCCAATCCTTGAATTTCATTTGTAATTGTTTAAAATGTTATAATTTCTTCTTTCCATTTCCTCATATTGTCATCCTTAATCTAAAGTGCAAGGGGGGGGGGGAGTAATGCCAAACATTGTTGCATGGTTTCTTCAGTGTCTCAGCCTCGTCTTACATAGATAAATCATGTTAGTATATATTTGAACGGATATATAATTCTGTACATTGTCTTCCTCTTTGATCTTGGATTCTGTACTTGTTCCCTTTGTCTGAGTTGTCTTCTCTATTGGTCAGTTTGTGTCTTCAAGACTGATCCTTATGAGTCTGCATTTTAGGAAGGAAAAGGGAGAACAGGGAAACCAAGTTGGTTTGTAATCCCAGTGAATCAGAGAGCTAAGGCAGAAGGGTTGTTATATATCAAGGTCAGCCTGGGCTTCAGAGTGAGTTCAAGGCTAGTCTTGGCAACTTAGTGAAACTCTGTCTCAAAATAAAAAGTAAAAAGAAGGATATGGTTATAGCTCAGTGGTAGAGAATTTGCCTAGCATGCAGTGGGTCCTAGGTTCAATCCAGTTAATAACACACACAAACACACACAATGAATAAGAAAATCCAACTGTTAGTCTCACTCTTCAAGACTGAGAAAATGAAGAACCACGCTCCATTCTGTTTTTGACACTTGCTTCTTAGCAAACTTGAGTCATATCAAAACCCAGATGCACTTCATTAATTCCATATTATTAAGACCCCTGTAAGCCAGTGTGGTCTGGCCCTGGCTTCTACCCAGTCTGCTATGCTGGCTTGGACTCCACTGTTGCAAGTGACTGTGGCCCTGCATGGCCTCACATGAGCATCTCATCCCCCTCCCCTGAAATCGCCAGTTACATGATATATAAAGAATTGTTTTGTTTTGTTTTTCAATCCAGGTATAGGGGCACATACCTTCAATACCAGCAGGAAGATCTCTATGTTCCAAGACAGTCAGGGCTGCAATGAGAGATCTTGCCTCAAGAATAGTTTTTTTCCCTCATTAATGGGTATATCAAAAAGACAATAAACATTTTGCTGGTGGACAGGAAAAAAGAAAGTACAGTAGTGCCTTACATGTGTTCCTCAAGGGCTTCAGTGGGGGCAGCTGGCCTGACGTCACTGGCTCCAAACCTCATCCTTCCTCTTCTCAGTTCATCTTGGTTGGTTACCTCAGACCCAGCTACAGCTCACATGCACCTTCCTCAGCATTCTAGACTTGGGCATTTCAGCTCTTCCTCTCTTCTCACTGCAACATTTGTGAGCAGCCCATAGTTTCACCAGAGGCTTGTCCCCTCCCTCCCTGCAGAGAGCAAGCTTCTACCCACCAGCATAGCTGGACTGCTATGAGGGTCCTCTTATGGGCTGCGGGTAGCTGAATTCTCACTGTATTATTGTACAGCTAGCTCTCCGAGCCTCTTCTCATAGGGATCCAGATTCATCCAAGATGACTCCACTCTGCTGACCTGGTTACCTCCCAACAACTCTGCTCCCTCCCTACACCAGCACAGTGACACCAGAGCTGAGCAGATGAATTTTGAAGGGACAACAACAATTTGTACCTGGGATGTGGACTGGGATTAGAATTGAAAATTCAGTTTTGCCTTCACCGACTCCAAGGCACTTCTGGTTCACACAAATAGATGAGTCTAGAAAGCAGTTCAGGAGCTGTGAGTCTAGAGATGAAGGGAATGAATATCGCTGATATTGGAGATGAAATGCCCTCTTGGAGCCCATTCCAAGCAAGAGAGGAAGTGGAGCCTAGAGAAATGCCCCCCAAGACTCATTTATAAAGGCAGTTAGCCTGCTCTCCAGGAAGACTTCATCATCACTGGGCTGGTTATTGCTTTGTGCTGGTCAGCCTCTAAATGCTTTCAAAGGTCTTT